CCCCCCCTCTCTCTCCCCCCATCTCTTTTGTAAAGAGGAGACAGTGATAATTCATGTTAATAGCCAGTCACACTTTTTTTGTGTGCTACTGTATTAGTTTTGCTTTGGTAACAAACCACATTAAGGTCTCATGGCTCTATATTTTTCTGAGTACAGGTCTTTTACACCCTTGGTTAAATTTATTCCTAGGTACTTTATTTTTGTTAGTAAAATGTATTTTTCTTACTGATAATTCATTGTTGGTATACAAAAATGCTACTGATTTCTGAATATTGACTTTATATCTTGTTACTTTGCAGAATTAAATTATTAGGTTAAGTAAGGTGTGTATGTACATGTGTGTGTAGACTATAGGGCTTGGAAAACTATAGAACACTGATGAAAGAAATTAAGGAAGATACAAATAAATGGAAGGATGTATCATGTTCATGGATTGAAAAAGTAAACATCATTAAAATGTCCATACTACCTAAGGCAATCTGGAGATTCAATGCAGTTTCTATTAAAATATCAATGGCATATTTCACAAATCTAGAACAAATATTTCAAAAATGCATATGGAACAAAAATGTACCTGAATAGCTTCACCAATCCTGAGGAAAAATAACAAGGTTGGTGGAGAGATCACAGTACTTGATATCAAACTACACTACAAGTCTACTGTAATCAAAACAGCCTGGTACTGGCATAAGAACAGGCACCTAGACCAATGGGAGAGAATAGAGAGCCCAGAAATAAACACATGTCTCTATGGTCAATTAATGTTTGACAAAAGGAACATGAGCATACAATAGAGTAAAAACAGTCTCTTCAATAGATGGTATTAACAGAACTGGACTGGTACATGCAAAAAAAATAATGAAACTAGACCCCCAACTTACATCATACACCAGAATAAACTCAAATGGATAAAAGGCTTAAATATAAGTTGTGATACCATAAAAGTCCTAGCAGAAAACATTGGCAATAAAATGTCAGACATCCCGCATAGCAATATATTTGCTGATAAATCTCCTAAGGTAAGGGATATAAAGGAAAAGAAATAAACAAATGGGACTACATCAAATTAAAAAGCTTCTGCATAACTAAAGAAATCATCATTAGAATGAAAAAAGAACAGAGTGTATGGGAGAACATATTTGCCAATGATACTTCGGACAAGGGTTTTAAAATATGTAAAGAACTCATAAGACTCAATGCCAAGAAAACCAACAATTCTATTAAAAAATGAGCAAGGAACCTGAAGAGACATTTCTCTAAGTAGGACATACAGATGACCCATAAACATATGAAAAAATGCTCAACATCATTAGCCATCAGAGAGATGCAAATTAAAACAACAAGATATCACCTCATATCAGTCAGAGTGTCTATCATTAATAAGTCAACATGCAAGCATTGGCAAGGATGTGGAAAAAAGGGAACCCTAGTATACTGTTGGTGAGGATGCGGACAAGTGTACCCACTGTGGAAAAAGTATGGAATCTCCTCAAATGCTAAAAATGAAACTGCCTTATGATCCAGCAATTCCACCACTCAGAATATACCCTAAGAATCCTGAAGTATCAATTCAAAAGAACTTATGCATGCCTATGTTCATAGCAACACTGCAATAGTAAAGTATTGGAAACAGCCTAGGTGCCCATTAGTAGATAAGTGGATAAAAAAGCTGTGGTACATTTACACAATGGAATACTAAATAGCAAATAGAAGGGATTCTAGTTTTTTGTGACAGAATGGATGGAACTGGAGACTTTTATGCTAAGTGAAATAAACCAGTCTGTGGAAGAAATACCATATGATTTCAATTAAAACTGAAATCTAATGAACAAAATAAATTAATGAGCAAAATATAACCAGAGACATGAAACAGATTGACAAATGTAAAAGGGGAAAAGGGAGGGAGGAATGGCAGGAGGAAAGGAAGAAATTAGTCAAGAACATGTATAAATTACCCATGGACATGGACAATGGAGCAAGGATTGACTGAGGGAGGGAGGGGTGGGCTGAGTGTTAAAATTGGGACAACTGTAATAAAATAAACAATGAAAATAAAACAAAAAAGTCTCATGGCTAACATTGTAAATTTTTATTTCTTTTCTATGCTGAGGAATGCAGTGTCAACTGAGGGTTTGCTGGGCTCAGCTGGCCACAGCTTCATTTGCCTTTAGACTGTAGGATGCACTTGTTTTCTCTTTATCCTCATTCTAGAGAAGTGGGTTGAAGGAACATCAAAGTTAATCCATGCAACTAAAGTTAATGTATGCTTGGATTCAGCAAATACTTTTACACTTACATCTTATTTATCAAAGCATGTCATATAGCCAAACAAAATCTAAAATCCAGTGAATCAGTCACATTCACACCTCCCAAAGGATACTTTAGCAAGTATTATCTATGTATCTATAAGTATAGATATAGATGATAGATATAGATGATATGAAGAGAGTCAATAATTGGGAGAGTAATCCAATTTATTACATTATTATTTTTTTCTCTGCAACCCACCTTTTTCCATCCATAATATATGTGAACGAAGATTATTTTTTGTTGTTTTTAATTATTTTGTTGTTGTTCAATTACAGTTGTCTGCTTTTGCCCCCCACTAATCCCCCCCTCCACAGCCAAACTCACCTTCCTCCCTTGCTTCCACCCTTCCCCTGGGACATGGTTTTGTACAAGTGACCTTTATAGTAGTTCCTGAAAACCCTTCCCCCCATTACCCCTTCCCTCCTCCCTTCTAGTTACTGTCAGATTGTTCTTAATTTCAATGTCTCTGGTTATATTTTGTTTGTTTTTTTAATTTGCTGATTAGGTTCCAGTTAAGGGTGAGATCATGTGGTATTTATCCCTCACCACCTGGCTTATTTCATTTAGCATAATGTTCTCCAGTTCCATCCATGCTGTAGCACAAGGTAGGAGCTCCTTCTTTCTCTCTGCTGTGTAGTATTCTACTGTGTAAATGTAACATAGTTTTTTGATCCACTCATTTACTGAAGGGCACTTGGGTTGCTTCCAGCACTTGGCTATTGTAAATTGTGATGCTATGAACATTGGGTGATTATTCTTTTATTGGACAACAAACCTGTGTATTATGATCCAGTCAGTTTGACACATAAAAGGTAATTACTACAGCTTCCTCATACAGAATGCAAGCCCAAGATTGTTTGATAGGGCTTGTGACCAGTGTAGATTTTTTTCCCTGCGTCATTTTATGCTGCTTTATTCTCCACACTTTTGTATCTTGGTTCTGATTAGGTATCTGCCATCATCACAGGTCCATGGAGCAAAAGGTGCTGATTTCCAAATAGAAGTTCCAAATCAACCATCTTCTGAAAATTTTTATCCTGATTGCAAAGCCCTAGTAATAAAATTATTTCACATTCCTCTCCTTCTCAGTGGTGCACCCTTTCACTCACCATCTCCTGAATCAGATCTTATCCCCATTTACCTCATTAGAATCTTGATGGGTTGGTTCATTGTTTTCTATTTAATCTAGTTTTTAATTTATATTCACAATTTATTTATTAATATGCATGTATCAATTACTATGTTATAAAAATAAAAGTACGAACATCTAAAATAATGCACAACAAACTGCTGATGAAGGAATGAAAATATTTTAATCTGAAGAAATTGTAAAGGCTCACACATAGCACAGGAAAATAGTACAGAACAGCGCAGTGTATGCAAAAACACAGCTACCTATATCTACATCATGAGTTTGAGGATACCATATTTCTCAATGCAAATATTTTATTTATATAATGAGAAAATAAAATTTCCTCATTCTCCTGCTGTATCTATCAATTCAGACTCTTCTATATTTATGTACTTTGGCTTTTCTCTCCTTATCATTAATATATTGTTCCTCATGCTACTGAAATTTGCTGTTTAGTAAAATTACTAAAATTTTAAACTAGAGAAACTCATCCAAATACAGACTTTCTTCCCAAGTCAAAAAACAAAATTGTGGCATATGACTTAAATTTCCTTGAAGCCTTTGGTGTACCACTTCTTTTTTTCCATTTTTTAAATTTTTTGTGGGCCACTGGCCACTTATTTCTTTTCTCAATCTTTTTATTTAGTCTTGGTTGTGATTACTATATAATATCTTTCTGTATTTCCTGATAGTTTAGTTTCCACACATTGTCTGGTTCTTCTTAATCTTACACTATAAATGGTTAAAAATGTTCAATATTAAGATGGCTTATTCTCTTCCAATTTATAATCTGAATTACACACTGAGTCCAAGTACCAAGAACTGGTGGCCTCAATGTGTTAAGGGAAACAATGACAGGGATTATAGATATCATGATTTATGATGAAAGGAGGGGAAAAATCACAAGTGCCCAGAGTTATTGATAATGGTGACCTCTCTCCAAATGCCAGAAGCTAATCTGCACATGTCTGTTTCCTGTATTCTATTTTCAGAAATCTGTGACTTTCCATGATTTTGTTTTACAGCTGTTTCAAGCTTCCTTATTCCTACACTGGAAGCTTATATATTGAAGCTTGTGTTTTAGGAACAACTTCATCATATGTACACATCATCATATGCAACAATGTCAGACACTATACATAACCTGGGTGACGGCACATCAGTCTCTGGCTTAATGAAATGGTTGCATTGTTGTGACTACATTAGAGGCTTCTGAGAAATGAAAGGATGTGCTGAGTGACACATCCTTATCAAAGGTGAAAACATGCAACTTTAATTGCTAGAGGACCATAACCTGATACACATCATCAAAATCAGAAACTATATTTAGGAAACTTCCTTTGAGATGCCTGAGTTCTTAGAGAAGGACTTGATATATTAATTTGTGTTATCTTTAAATTATGGAAATTAAATTGAACTATAAAAAGAAGTATCTTTTAATTTCTTAGCCTCTACAAGAAAGAAAATACAAATTGGCCATTAGAGGGCTCTTGTTCCTTCTTCTATTTCTGTAAACTTGTGCTTCAGGGTGACTTCTAATCCTAACTTCCTCAAACCTCTTAAAAACCACTGCCTCTTTATTCTGAGGTAAATTATTTTTTTGATGAGAGAGCATCTTGAGTTATAGTCCTTGACCTTGTCCTCATGCTGCTGAAGCTCTTGCTGTTGATCTGTGGTGAGTAGGACAACTCAAAAGAGAGTATGGGATTCTATCACACTGGGGTTCTAACTCTTGAAGAGCTGTGGGACTTCTGAGGACTAATTTTTTGACTTGGTTATGCTCAGGGATGCTCAGCTTTCTACTTTCAGCTGGGGGCTCAGAGTTAGGCAGAAAGTGGTAGATACAGGAAAACCAGAATTTTAATAAATATATTATTTTATTTTTTTATCTCATAGGATATGTTCACCATCTGTCTTTCTATTTTTAATTTCTCATTGTGTTTTTGCTGTAATATTTTTAAGAACCACAAAGATAATTTGTACAACAAATTGGTCTTTTAGTTCTTTGCCCTTCTTACTATCAACATTGTTTTTCTTTATTTTTTCATGATATCCCATTCCCACCATCAAATCCTAGAACATTACCTACAACTTTCCTATTTCCATGTTTTCAGCATCACCCTCCAGACAAACACACACATTTAAAACAATTTATCCCCAGCTCATGTTCTCTAATGCTCCATCTCCAACATGTATTCAACTGCGCAGGATTACTTTTTACATTGTCAATTACTACTCTCTACATCCTTACTTCTCACAGTAATTGGCTTAGATTCTGTAGTCCATCACAATACTCCTTTGGCTACACCTTCATCTCTCTTCCCCCACAACGCTCTCCTGATTAACAAACTGTTTTTTTATGCTTCACACCTGTGCCTAAGCAGCTTAATGTGATTTTAAACAGAAGGCACAATCCTTCTGACTTACTTTCCTTTTAATGCAGAATGATCAATAATCAGCCATGCCACGCAATCCTCCTACACTTTCATAACCAGTGTTCTCCCATTCTTGATAACTACTGTTTTATACCTTCCCCTTTTTCTTAAATTTCTCCTTTATTATTCCTAATTTATAATTCTGATTCATATTTCACTGAGAAAATAAAATCACTCAGAAGAAACTTTCCTCATTCTACTGCTATATCTATTGACTCAGACTCCTCTATATTTATGTAATCTGCTTTTTCTCCCCCTAGTATTAATATATTGTTCCTCATCCTATCAAAGACAGGACTCTCCACTTGTGCACTGGGTGCCAAATTCTTTTTATTTCTAAAAAATTTTGCTCCATCATCAAAAAGTTTCTCCATCTGTGTCATTCTCATAAGTATGTAGGCATCCTATAATATATTTTATCCTAAAATAATAGAAATGTGACCTGATTATTTCCTCCATTTACTCCACCATTCTTCTTTCTTTTATGTCATATCATTTTATACTTTTAAAAATTATTTTTAGCTCATATTACAGTAAATATCTCTTTTTGGATACAACATCTACAATTTTTTACAAAGTTTTTGTGTCATGTGACCACCAGCACAATCAAAACACAGAACATTGTCATCATTTCAATTGATCTGGATATTATTATGTTAAGTGGAAAAAAAAAACAGACAGTGAAAGACAAATACCATATGATCTCACTTATATATGGAATCTAATGAACAAAATAAACTAATGAACAAAATAGAAACAGAGGCATGAATACATAAAATTGACTGACAGCTAGCTGTCAGAGGGAAGGTGAAAGAAAAAAAAAACTTGATGAAGGAAGGTGAAGGGATTAGTCAAAGAACAAAAATGTGTAACCCATACACAGAGACAACAGTGTGGTGACAGGCAGAGACAAGTGGTGATGAGGGTGACAGGTAGGTAGACAAAGGTGGGGGTGAGTGAGGACATTTGTTACTGTGTAAACAATAAAAATAAAGAAAAACAATTTCCTTATGTCCTCCCTTTATAGTCAAGACTCCCTCATTTCTAACTCCTAGATACTGCTAAACTGTTCTAGGTCTTTAAACATCTGTATTCTTTCTTAAACTCACTTAAATAAATGTTTAATTCCCTGCACACCATTAAAACTGCTCTTGCTTATATCACCAACCACCTCTATGTTGCCCCATCAGGATTAGTTTTCAGTTCTCATTTTATTTGACCTCTCAGGAGTATCTAACACAGTTGATCACTCCCTCTTCTGGATATATATTTTAAATTAGATCCTTGAATACTATATTCTTTTGGTTTTATTTCTAACTCAATACCTGCTTATTTACTGATCTCAAAGTGTTTCACTTTCTTAAGGTTGCTCCCTAGACTTCTCTTTTCAGTTCATACTCGCTTCCCAAATTATACAATTTGGTCATTATACATGTCACTTTAAGCTTAACATACTTAAAATCAAGCTTATTTCTCCAAATTTGACATTTCATTTGAACACCATGTATTCAATTGCCATTCAGTTGTCTAATAGGCTTCTTAAACCCAACATATCTGAACAGATCCTTTGGTCTTCCAAGTGCACTCCATCAATACAAAACTTAACCTATTTATCTCCATGACTTCTCCCTTTTTGTAAATGTCACCATGATTTTTCCAGTTGCTATTGACAAAAATCTAGGAGTTACACTTAACTCCTGTTTTTCTTTTATACTCTATGTCTGATCTGTAAGTAGTTTGTATTATACTTTCAAAATTTATTTTTTAAATTATTTTATTGTTGTTCAAGTACTTTATACTGAAATTTGGCCTCTTCACAGCTTAAGTTGAGTCTTGATCATCCTCACTCTTTCAGACTAAACTTTCACTATGTTCTCCTGCTTCTCTTGTATGTCTTCAGTCTATTATTCTCACAGTGTATGAGTGATTTCACAAATGTAAATTAAGTCAGAACTGTCCATAGCTCCCCATAATATCTAGAACAAATTCCCAAGCTATTACCAGGTCCAGAAATCCCTCTATGACAGGCTCCTGCTTACTTCTTATATACCAATATTAACCACTGTCAGTCCACTTACTTTCAGATGCACTGGCCTTCTTATTCTTCCTTGTATTGTATAAGATATGCCTTCTTAAGTTCTTTACAACTACTGTTTGTCTACTGGAAATGATCATTCCCAAATATTCAGTAGGCATTCTCTATAATTTCATTCATGTTTCTACTCAGTTGGCATCTATCTAAATAGTCAAGGCCATGAAAAGATAATCGGTAACTTATTTCTATTATTTATTTTTCTTATGGCTCTGACCTGTCACTAAATCATACCATATATTTATTTTTAACTCAGTCTCTTCCATTATAAAGTAAATTTATTGAGAGAAAAGACTACCATTTATTTTTACCACTGTAATGCAAGTCCCTAGCATATATTATTTTTGTACAGACAAATAAAGAATGTGATTTTTATGTTAGCCTGTATTAATTATCTTCCTTTACTTCTGTAACTAATTACTGAAATAAGCATTTAACCTAAAAAATGAGGCATCTCAAGTTAAACATGGACTTCAATAGATAATAATAAGATAATATTAATTGTTAGAATTATAAATCAAATCTAGGTACTGGGCACTATTCTAAGCATTTTATAGATATCAACTTATTCAATTCTCACAAAACTCTGCAAAGAAAGCCTGATATTATCTACCTTTTATATAAAAGGAATTAAAATCATAGAGAAATGAAACATTTCTCTCAGGATAATACAACTTGTAAGAGGAAGAGCCAAGATTCAAATCTGTGCCACCTGGCTGCAGAATCTGTATTTTCCACAGAATTTACAGTTCTTAGTAATTATTGTGTCTTGAACAAGAGCCTTTCCACTATATTTTTTTGACTATTGCTACCATGAGTCAGGGTGAATAAGCTGGATCATCCAGGCCTTTGAGAGTAGGGGATGAAAATGAGGGACTTATAGAAGGGAACTGCTAAGTAGTTATAAAATAAAGAAGTTATTGGCCCTGGCTACCGTAGCTCAGTGGATTAAGCACAGGCTTCGAACCAAAGTGTCGCAGGTTTGATTCTCAGTCAGGGTACATGCCTGGGTAGCAGAGCATGACCCCCAGCAACCTCACATTGAGGTTTCTCTCTCTTTCTCTTTCTCCCTCCCTTCCCTCTCTGAAAAAAATAAATAAATAAAATATTTTTTTAAAAGAAATGTTTAAAAAAAGAGAAGTTATTGGAAATTGCTTTATAATTGTAAAATGGATTATGGTTTGCTTTATGGGCAGGTGTTTTGTGGATGATGTGGGATGTGAGAAAATAAATGCAGAGAAAAAATAAAAATGGGAGAAAGGAAGGGGAAAATAGGGAGGACAGGAGAAAAATACAGAAGAAAAGAGAAAGCATAAAGGAGAAAGGAAGGGAAAGATGTGGGAGAGATACCAGGCAAGTTAGGTCATTATTGGGAAAGCTCTTTGGAAATTTAAACTTTGCATATGTTAAAGATCTGCTGCTCTGTACTGATCTTTGCTAAATTCTCTTCCAGTTCCACTTTGCAAACCAACCGGTGAGTTGCACTTCCTTTTCTTCTTCACAGTATGTTTGGTATGTTGACACGAGACCAAAACTGGAAGTCTGACAATGACTGTCTGACATCCGGTGACAGCTATTTATGTGTATAAATAACAGTGGCTCCTTTGGGGGCCAAGGCTTCTTGTGTTCACATAGTCTCTACACCAGATACTTGCCTGCTCAGTGAGGGAACAGGTGTTGGTCTGACTTTTTTAAGACCACAGTATCTTTGTTCTGGGAAGTCCCAGCTTAGGGAGGAAGTTGTTGTTTACACAAAGATGTGGGTACGAAAGACCAATGTTAGAAGACTTTATGCTCTCCCAGCATCATGGGCTCCAAGACCCCTGTTTTTCCTAGCTGGGTGCTCCACCAAGAGTGATGGAGAAAATGTCAAAGTCACACATCCATGGAGAACAACATTACAGTCAATCCTTGGGTCATGTGCAAAACAATATAGTGCTGCTGATTCTTTTCAATTTTTAGCTCTGCTTCCACCATAGTTACACAGTATAGTTACTCTCTTAGAATCTGATTTATGCAAACTTACTTCATTGTTGTGATCCTCATTTAAAGTTTTTTTTTTTTTACCAGATGATGAGAGGAGGCAATTTCCCCTTAGAAAAAAATATTTCACTAAAGCATGTCTAACCTAATATGAGTCAGAACTCTTTTTTTGTACATAAAATACTAAACACATAATTAAAAATGGTTATCCTGTCACATCAAAAAACTCAGGCTGCATGTGTGTCCAGGTAACACAGGATTCGAAATTCCTATTATGACAGATATTCAAAACCAACCCTACCTCTTGATTACTCACCTATGTTTGTCCAAGTCTGAATCGTGCCTTGTTTTAATGCCTTTTGCTCTCTAAATGTATGCATGTGCCTAATCCTAGCTTAGGCAGAAATCCAAAGTTACATCCAAGATGACAAAAGAAAAATCCTTCCACCAATAATTTACCAGGTGGTCTCTATGTCTGAGAATTATTTTAAATAAGCTCTGAACTATAAAACTGAGCTCTAAACCTTGCATATATCTCTGATGACCTACTTCATCCTCAACCCAGCTTCATTCAGAAAAGTTGGCTAAAGGTGACTAGATGCCTTTTTTCTTTTCCTTTTCTGCTCAGACCCTAAAATTCTACTGCTCCTCACTCCTCTGGGGACTACAATTTTCCAAGGAAAGAAAGTTACTCATGTGCAGGGCATTCCACACTCCAGCACAGGGAAAATATTCTAGTACTATCCTAGAATTTTTTTTTTAAGTTTCAGGGTAAGCAGCCAATAGGAAGGACTGTAGATATTAAACCACAAATAACCTCTCAGTGATCTAGAACACTTGGTATTTTAATGTGGTGAATTAAAAAGACACAGCAGCACTGGCTATTTATATATTTGTTTATTCAACCCTCAAAGTTGCTGCTATTTGGGAAATTTTAAGAATTTTCCTAAGAAAAGCCGCTTTCTTTCTTTACCATAAAGAGATGAGGTGAAAGCAGAATACAACTATAACCATGTTTAATTCATCCAGAAATAAAAGACCCCAAGACCAATAAAAGAAATATATCCCTGAGGTTTAAGATATGGATTAAATTTTCTCTTTATAAACATGGCTGCTAAAAAAGTTTCCGAGCACAGACTGTGTAGATGTGTGGTTCCAGAACATTTCCAGGCAAGTATTGTGCATGGAGAGAATCAGTACAGAAGGCATTGAGTTTCTATAAATCTTTATCAGATTGACTGATCCTCCAGGTCTCATATTCTGTCTTTGAAAGAGATAGTCAGAGATGTTAGGGGAAAAGCAACAGAATAAAATAACCAATGTGGCTTACAACAAGGATGAATGAAATATATTCACTTTTCCTAAACCTTCAAGCTCCATCTTCTCTAATCCCAACTATAGTAACAGTTGTCAATATTCTTGCACTAACTCCAAAAATGATGTTCTTAGTTCATGGATAGAAACTTCAGTGAGTAAGAATCAAGTCAAAGGTAAGTGTTGACTTGTGGTAAGCAGTGATGTTACAGGGGCAGGATGTGCTGGGAATGAGCAGCTGGCAAAGGAAAGTCCATGGTTCACGTGTGGGTGGTGACGTGAGTGTTGTCTTTGTGTCCAGTTGGCTGGTTATCAATCTTGTTTAAAAAGCTGAGAATACAAAGTGACTCCTACCAGGAACTCTAAACCTTATTGCCCTGAAATATTTGTTTAATTCTTCTCTCTAGTGCTGCTTTTGACAGCCAGCCCTTCTTGGCCCATAGAAGGTAACTCAATGACTCTGACTTGTAAGACCCAATACCCTCCAGAGAAGTTAGGTGTCCAGCTCCAGTTCTGCTTCTTCAAAGATGGCTATACGCTGGGGCTGAGCTGGAACAACTCTACGGAGCTCCAGATCACTGCTGTGAGGAGGGAGGATTCAGGGTCCTACTGGTGTGAAGCACAGACAGCTGGAACTAAAGTAATAAGGAGCAAGAGTATCCAGATACACGTGAAGAGTGAGTGCCAGTGGGGCCCTTTGCTGGGATGGGCTTAAGGAGGGCATAAGCCTGTGCTTTCCTGACTGGTGTGTTCTGCTCCTGAAGAAATAGGTGTTGCACTTGAACTTGTCTCTATTAGAGTTCTGAAGGAATCTTCCCTCATTCTTGTTATTCCCATTCAAACAAGCAGAATAATATTTAGAAAACCCTTATGGCATGTCTTCACTCTCCTGGTGAGTGTGGGGAAAATATTTGCATAATACATGTCCCTGATTACAAGTAGCTGATGTTCAATCAACACTTTAAATAACTAGGGTGAAATATATGGTGGTGTTGTGTATATATATGGTTAACTAGACAAAAATGCAAAGAAGAGAGAAATATAACTGAGGTGGTTAAAGAAGGCTTTCTGAAATAGGCTATTGGAAAAGGCCTATGAAAGAAAAGTTTGGATCTGGTTTTTAAAGATAATAAAGGGGGCATTTTGTGATTCTAAACCATGATATTTGAACTCAGGATTGATGATTCTGATATCCTCTTTCATTCTCGGACAAAGATGTATCCATTGTGCCATAAAGCAAATTTTCTCCAGAAACCTGTGCTTTCCCAGGTTTGCTCAAAACTCAACATTAGCGAAGGTGGAACACACACACACAAAACCTAGAAAGCAAGCCCTGTTCTAGTACCATGTTGGAATATCTCTCAAACCCAGGAAGTTTGATTTGCAACCTGGAATTTTAATAACTATGCTTTTGTGTCTTGTAAAAGGAGTGTTTGAGATATCAGGGTTTGGGGAAAGTCCATTGTCATAGGGAGGGAGGCAATGCTGCATCCTCCATGGTAATGTTATGGTGCCTTCCTTACCCTGCCACTATCAAACCAAACAATGCCAATTCCTAGTCAGCAGAAACATGAGCCCCTTCCCCCACATTTCACTATTAACCTACATAAATTATTGGCTTTATCCAAGACCTTTTCTTTCTGGATGGCCACAACTACTCTCTGTCCTTAGAACTCTTCTTACTCACAGCTCTCATATGTCATTTTGTGTTTGTGCAGGAATCCCTGTCTATAATGTGAGCTTGGAGACACAGCCTCCAGGGGGATACGTGATGGAGGGAGAAAAGCTGGTTCTTGTCTGCTTGGTCCCTGAGGGAACAGGAGACATCACTTTCCTCTGGTACAAAGGGGCTCTGGGTTTAAACCTGGAATCGAAGACTCAGCGCTCACTAACAGCAAAGTTTGAGATTCCTATGGTGAGAGAAAGTGATGCTGAGAAATATTACTGTACAGCTGACAATGGCTATGGTCCCAGTCTGAGTGGGCTAGTGAGCATCACTGTCAGAAGTAAGTTCCACTAACCTTCAGTTCAATTATTAGGTCACAAATTGGGTTCCATGTTCCCTTTTGGCATCCTGACAAAATTGAATGAGGCTCAGCCCCTGTGGGAAGAGATTATGAGTTTGTTATATTATCAGAGACCCTCTCAGACATTGCATTATCTCTGTCAGTTCCAGTGTCTCGCCCTGTTCTCACCCTCAGGGCTGCTGGGGCCCAGAAGGTGGTGGGGGATGTAATAGAACTTCACTGTGAAGCATGGAGAGGATCTCCTCCAATCTTGTACCAGTTTTATCATGAGAATGTCACCATGGGGAACAGCTCAGCCCCCTTTGGAGGAGGAGCATCCTTCAACTTCTCTCTGACTGCAGAACATGTTGGAAACTATTTCTGTGAGGCCAACAATGGCCTGGGGACCCAATGCAGTGAAGTGGTGACACTCAACATCACAGGTACGGAACAGCCTTAGTCAATGTCTTTTTTTCCACAGCCTGGGAGAGCTTTGCTGACCTCATAGTGCTTCTGCTGCTGCATAACCAAGGATTGGGTTTTAGTGGGTGGTGCTGTCCTAGGAGATGTATCTGAGGGGGATGGAGGATATAATGACCAGGTGCATCTCTTCTTTTATCATTTGTGAAAGGCTGCAGGACTTTGGATAAAGAAGTTTCACTACCCACTCTCACTGCAAAGAGCAGACCTTGGCCACAATGCATACTCAAGGTGTCTGCTCTCTAAATCAAAGCCCTTCTCATTGGCAGCTCATGCATACGTTTCTCTCCCCAGTGTCTACAGAGAACAGAAAAAACCTTACTTCAGCAATCTTTCAGGGGTTGCCTGGAATCCTTGTTCTCACTGCCATGGTCCTATTATTTTTCTGTTGGCTCAAGAGAAAAATAGGTTAGTATATATAGAGATTGTTATGTTGTTACTGTGACCTTTGTTTTCAATGACAATGGCTAAGTTTGTGATGCATATACTATAAGGATAACAGGAGAAAGAAGGGGAAGGGTCGTCAAGGAACAGGGACTAACCCAAAGGGGGCTATGATTGGGAGTGGGAGGTGGGGGTGGGTAGGGCAGAAGAAAGTAGTGGCAGGAAAATGGAGACAACTGCACTTGAATAACAATAAAAGAAAAAAAGAGAGAAAGTGAATATATTCTGTTAATTACAATGCCTACAGATTTGCTTACAAGACTCAACATGCGAATGACACATATTAAAGTAATGCAATGTTGTTAGTAATCTTTTCTATCCCCTTTGTGTTCTCAGTTAAGGTTCAGCTGATATCTAGTGCCTCTGTGATTTATTTTTTATATAAAAATGTAACTATTTAAATAATTAATCAGCTACTGGAAGAGAAATACAGTGAGCAGTTCAAGCTATACTGACCATCTCATAGCTAAAGTCAATGCATCAATTCCTATTCACCTTAAAATAGAGTCACATGCTTCCCCCACTCTGAAATGCTTGTCTATGCATCCATACATTCTACTCATTGCTGTATCTTTTCCACTTTTTGGCCTAAATGTTATTCTTTTCCAACAGGGTTTACTTGGCCACACAGCCTATAATTCCTTTTCATTGTTCTTCATCAAAGCACCAAGTTATTTAGTTTCACATTTTATAACAGCTGGTAATTAAATATTTATTTTTATGTTTAATCTTGGTTTCTTGTTATCCATTAATCAAATTGGAGATGGGGCAAAAGAAGATAATGTGAGATTCTTATTTAAATCATGTGATTTTTCTGCATCTTTGTGCACCTCACCCCATCTATGATGTGGTTGAGTCAGTGTTTGTTTCTGAGGAGTAATATCATGATAGGATTAGGTGGTGTGATTGTAAAACCAGAAACAAAAAATATAGCAGGTATAAGGTTCAGAAGCTTGAGCCCAAGTCTTAACTTTGATATTTACTGTTACATTTGGAAGCTTATTTAATTTTTCTAGACCTGAGTGTCTTCATCTGCAAAATAAAGAATTTGCTTGAATGACTGCCAGTATGTCCTTTGGGCATACAGTGACACCTTGTGACAGGCACACTGGCATGAGAAACACTCCTTGCACAAGAGCTACATAAAAACACTAAGAAAGAGTTCTTCCATTGACATGTGTGCTCATTTGTTTGATTTGCAGGAAAAAATTCAGCCAGGGATCCATGCAGGTGAGTCTTCTGCTTTCTCTGTTTGCACTGATAGTGTAGAAAATAGATTTAAAAAATTAATTGTCCCCTCTCAAGAGCTTTTTTGAGCTATTTTTGTTATAACCAAAACATTCACTCCATAGTTCTCTCTTTGATAACTGAATATTCATTGCTATTCCTCTTCTTTTATATGTTGACTAATTAATTCAAATCCTTTCATCATTCTTCCTAACTTACTCTTTCACTAAATCTGAATAAGAAAAGTATGTTACTTTGACCCATTTTATGCATTTATTCAATCAATTAACCAATATCTGAAGGTCTGTAAGTCATTCTATTGAGTGCTGAAAGGCATGAAAATACATAAAAATCTGAAATGGTGAAGTATTGTAGAATAGTTAAGCTATATACACACTTCTGTAACACAAGCTAAAGAGTAATAAACATATTAACATTTTTATTATAATTTTTAGAAGTTTTAGAAGAGGAAAAGCCTTTTGAATTCTTCAATCTGGATATATCAGTGTTTATTTGATATATTTTTATAGTGTGTTCTTGTTTATGTCAACAAAAATGTTGTTCTGCTTAGCAATCTGTTTTCCATCTTCAGTTAATCAGTATTTCTTCATTTAATATGTACTGAGCACCTGTAAAATGAATGTCACTGTTTCAGGTGTGGGCAACACCAGAGTGAGCCAGTCAGATAAGGACCTTTCATTCATGGAATATATACCCTAGTGGTACTCTGGGCATATTCAGCCTTTACTCAGCCCATGTATAGGTCTAGGGCTTATACCATACAACTATATTGATTGCTGATTTTCTCAGAAATTACTATTCTACAATATTAGGATTTTTCTAGCACATTTCTCTCATTCAGTGTCTTAGTCATAATCCCACATAATAATCTGAGACATCTAAAATGCTATACCAGATGGATAATATGTGTTTCTGTGTTTTCAGAAGCCTTTCCAGCCCTGAACCCCAAGGATCCTCATATGTCAACTCAACTGCCACAGAGCAACTACAGCCTATATATGAAAATGGTGAGGTTTCCCAAATGACCTGGACAAAAGTAGGTAGAGTGACTTGGGAAAGAGAGAATTGGGTGATGTCTAATAGTCAATCCTGACCCTGCTGTGCTCCAGCCTCCTCTGCAAATAGATGAATCCCTTTTCTTCATGGCTGTGATAAGTGGTATGTATGAGCATGTTAAATTTCAGGAAGAAGGGATTGTGTCATGATGCCTCCCTGTTTCTCTTTCAGTAAATGTTGTAAGTGGAGATGAGGTTTATTCTTTGGTGTACTATATGCAACAAGGACAGCAATTAGCAGCAGGTAAGACTTGAGGAAGTGAATTTGTCTCTCACTTTTGTCTTCCCTGGATCCAAGAAGTGGTTATGTACAGCAGTGTTCTTCCTGGTTGCTGCTCTAACTTTGGAGCTAACTGTTGTGCCTATATGAAAACTGGACTTTGTTCTGGAACCTGCCTCAAGTAGAGCCCATTGCTAATGCTAACTTGGCCTGACTGTGGAATGTATATCTTACATTGTAGTCAGGCTTCCACCTGTCCTCTTTGAGTAACCCTATGTACTCCCTACAACACCCCAACACAACTGCCTAGTTGTTACTGTTATCCTACCTAGTATATGGTGGGCCTACACATGCTGAGAGGTATAAATGGTAGGAGGAACTTACCATTCTACCTCCAGTGTGCTAATTTTTCTCTGCATAATAAGGGAATTATGTATGTGATAGGCAGAAAAGACAAAAAATATTAATGGGAATAAGTCAATAGGAAATAGGAGAGGAAAAAACCTTTATTATCACTGATTTAGTGAAAGATGGTAAGTGTAAGCAGAATCTCATAGTATGTACCTTTTTCTCCACAGTAGAATCCCTGAAGATACATACTGAGGAGAAGGTGAGTTAGAATCCCTATTGTTCTTACATCCATGCTCCTTCTTTCTTCTGGGGTCTGGTTCTCATATTTTAAAATTATGGCCACTATGAAAAAAAAAAGATCCCATGGCCTATCTTCCTTACCTTCTCATACAGTAGGGGTAAAAACATTTAATTATACCAGCAAAGTGTCACTGTAGGAGAAAATTTGGGGTGCTTACATATACATATCTTTTAGCCATGAACATATGAATGACTGGGATTAAACTAATATATACCTGGTATAAAAATTCTATTTAGAAGTCTTTACACTTAAATACTCTTGAGCCATACATACATAAATTTATGCTGTAAGATTAACCAAGCAATAGAAATCCAAATGGATAAGCTAAACAATGTTTTTTGTCATTAAAATCAGTAATTTACAAACTTTGAATAGTTCATGACATCACTGATGATACAAAAATGTTTTTATAAAATACAGGAATTCTAATTCTGCATGTGTGCAAGGACATAGGTGCTTTGTAATTTTGTCTAGTGTAGTGTGACAGTCAAATGTCTCTGTAAAGTGTTCAAGTCCTTGACAAACTCCAGTCCAGTGTGATGGTAAATTAAGTGTATGAATACACAATTCTGACATTTTTTTAAATGATAGCCAATGGAATTGCCAATGGCCCATAAGAATGAGAAAAGACTTTGCATGTTTGCATTAGTTTGCAGCTCATTAGCAGCACCTTTGTAGCCCCCCCAGTAAAGTGCAGACTCTCTGAAAATGCTTGCTTAGGGCCACAGACTTTCAAGAACTTCTAATTCATATGTTGCATGGCACACCATGATAAGATCATTTATACTGATCAGGAAGTAAAACTGGTGAGAGGCATGTTCTACTCATCTTCCCTGCTCTGGCCCTATCCCTGTGCCTTTGCTTCTAGGACTCTTCAGTCATTTATTCTGGACTGAAGAAAGCAAGACTTATAGATGTAAACTATGAAGATGCTATGTAAAGTTGTGGAAGACTCTGCTCTTTGAAACCATTTATGAACTGTGCCTCAGAACTGGTATGTTCTTGAAAGATCCTGGAGAATAAGCTTTCCAGTAAATTCATGCAGTTGCTTTCCTCCTCAAGACTATTTCTACATCTACTTTAAAATAAAGTTGACTTAATTCCTGAAGAGACCATCCAGGAGAATCAACATGAATGTAGGAGTGGAAAGGACTCTGTTACCAGAACCTGATTCTTAGTGGTTCTTTTAGGCATAGGTCAAATTGTTCTTTAACATCTTTTTCTAAGATGAACAGGACAGGAAAAAAAGAACTTAGGATCTTGGTGTAGAGGGACAGTGAACAAAACCCTTTTGCTTAGAGTGAAAGAAACCCTTAAGTTTATAGTGCACAAAACCTAACATTAGTGATTTCATGGGACTGTTCCATATAGAGAGCTGTATGTATATAATTTTGTCCAAGTGCTTTTTCTGCTCAGACAGTACTGATCTCCAGCCCTACAACTTACATTAATTATCCTGTTTCTCCATAAAATATATTACTTGTAGCATTTGGAGTCACAGCTACCAAATTAGAATTAAAACAAAGTTATAACCATGGCTAGTGTAGCTCAGTTGTTTGAAGCATTGTCCCATACACTGAAAGTTTATAGGTTCGATCTACAGTCAGCTCACATACCCTGGTTGCAGGTTGGTCCCTGTGGGGTGTATTCAGGAGGCAACCAATTAATGTTTCTCTTACATTGATGTCTCTCTCTCTCTTCTTCATTTCTCAATAAATATATCCTTGGGTCAGAATTAAAAAAAAATGGTTTCATAAGGCATTATTGGAATTATACTCAATGTTATTTTTTATGCACCAGCCAATCTAGATTTATAAAGAAATAATATTTGTGTTACCACAGCCAATGTTCTGCATTTGTTGCAGCCTCTAGAAGCTTTATGAATGCAATTTCCCTTTTTTATTTACAGGTGCTTTGAAAACTTGACAATATGATTTGAAGTTTCTATTTGAAATTAATCAATTGCTAATTCTTATAAGTTAAAGCAATTTGAAGCATAAAATATAAAAGTTAAAGTCTTCCCTTATAATATGACATCAGAAGTGATATAGACAGTTAAAAATTAAGCATTGTTAAACTGACAATAACCAGAGGGGAGGTGGGAGGAGATAATGGGGGAAAAGGGGTAAGGGTTTTCAGGAACCTGTATAAAGGACACATGGACAAAACCAAAACGGGGTGGGATCAAGGGTGGGAAGTGGGTATGGTTGGGTGTGGGGAATAGTGGGGGGGGGGTATGGAGACAAGTGTACTTCAACAACAACAAAAAAAGGAAAAAATAAAAATAAACAAGCATTGTTAAAATCACAGATCTGTAGATTTTTCTGCTTTTTAAATAAACTTATAATTATTTTTCTGTTTGTACATTTATACATACATGTAAATATATATCTAGAAATATACCTATTCAAAAAATGTCATGAAGTATTTTTAAATTCATTTTTCATTTATGATTGTCCCACATTTTTCCTCATTGCTTTCCCCTACCCTATCCCCCACAACTCCCACAGTCAATTCACCCCATAGTCTGTGCCCATAAATCCTCTATTCATGTTCCTTTGCTTGCCCCTTTCCTTCTTTCCTCCATTATCCTTGCCCACCCCTCTGGTCACTGTCAGTGTGTTCTTTATTTCCAAGTTTCTGGTTCTATTTTGCTCATTTGGTTTTTTTTTTAATTAGGTTCCACTTTTAGGTGAGATCATATGGTATTAGTCTTTCACCACCTGGCATATTTCACCTAACATAATGCTCACAATTTCCATCCATGCTTAGTCAAGGGTAAGAATTCCTTCTTTCTTTCTGCTGGTGCTACCTTTTATTTCTTTAGGCAAACATATCAATGAACAAGTAGGATAAATGTAAAGAAGAAAATCCTATGATAAATTCAGAAGCACCATCTGCTTCTTAATTTGGTCAGTTTCCTTAGATGATGTTATCCTACTTATCTCTCTAAAATTAAGGGAAATTGCTTTAATTTCTTCTTCATTCCTCAAAATCCAGAGCATCCTGTTCAGTGATGTTTCAACCAGTTTTATATATTTATCAATTTTTAATTTTCTGCAATCATTTTTTCTCTTTTTAATTTTTTATTATTAAGTATATTTTAACATTTTATTATAATGTTAGAGTTCTCCCATTTTCCCCTTTGATCCCCTCCACCCAGTACGCTTTTTTTCCTCCCACCATGTCCCCCTTAGTTCATGTCCAAGGATCATATATATGAGTTCTTTGGCTTTTCCACATACTATTCTCAATAACCCCTGCCTATTATGTATCCACCAACTATGCTTCTTATTCCCTGTACCATTTCCCCCATTCTCCTACCATGTCCTACCCACTAACAACCCTTTATATGATCTTCATCTTTATGACATTGCTCCTGTTATAGTTGCTTACCCAGTTTGTTTTTGGTTATTTTTTTACACTCCATTGTAGGTAGTTGTGAGTTTGTTGTCATTTTACTCCTCATAGTTTTGATCTTCTACTTTTTCTTAGTTTAGAACCTTTAACATTTTATACAACAAGGAATTGGTGATGATGAAATCCTTTAGTTTTACCTTGTCTTGGAAGCAATTTATCTGACCTTCAGTTCTAAATGATAGCTTTGATGGATAGAGTAATCTTGGATATAGGTCCTTATCATCTCTTTGAATACTTCTTACCATTATCTTCTTGTCTGCAAGGTTTCTTTTGAGAAATCAGATGATAGTCTTATGGGAACTCCTTTTTAGGTAACTCTCTCCTTTCTTCTTCCTCCTTTTAAGATTCTCTCTCATGTCCTATCCCTTACTTTCACTATTCCTCCTCTATCAAAGCTTGTATAAGCACTCTGTTTTCTAAAGTCAGTTCACATTCTTTTTCCCTTCTAATAAGAGACTTATATGTTTTTGACCTTTAATAAAATGTGGCTAGATGGATGAACTAAGAGTAATTGTTGTACTTCTTCAAAGAATATCCTATTTGTTCACTACTTGTTAGCACTGTTAATAGAATACTCTCCTGTCTTATTCCATTTCACCATCACCTTATCCTTGTCCTGGATTTCTGTGTCCCTCAAAATCTATTTTGTTTTCACTTTTATAACTTGTGGGAGGTATCTTTCCAAGGACTGATTATAATAATTCCTTATTTGGCATTTCCCAGAAACATACCAATAAGAGTGACACAATCCTAGAGTTTTGATATATCTATGGGAAAGTTCCTAATCTCTAGGGCTCATACAAACAGAAGATTTCTTGTCATCTCTGTCTGCTGGTGGTTGAATCTTTTACCCACCAAATCACTCATTTATGGAAATTGTTCTAATGATCCAGATTTTATGCAGGGGTCTAAAATTACTATCTTCTGTAGGACCAAGTTTTTGTTTCATAATTCCGCATGGATTTTAAATACTAAGATAATAAGAATTATTTAGATTTCTGTCAATTTAATCTTAATTGTATTTTTCCATTACCATTTAATCCTCTAGCAATCACCACACTGTTCTCCATGGCCATGAGTCTTTTTTCTTCAATCCTTCCATCCTCTAACCTACCCCATCCTTTAGCTGTCATTCTGCACTCATCTAGGAGTCTTTCTCCATTGTCCTTATTCAGTTTGTTCATTCAATTCCACATATAAGTGAAGTTATGTGGTATTTGTCTTTCTCTGACTGGCTTATTTCACTTAGCAAAATGGTCTCCAGGTCCATTCATACTGTTGCAAAAGGTAAAATTTTCTTTTTTATGGCCCAGTAATATTCCATTGTGTATATGTCCCATAGTTTTTTTATCTACTCATCTACTGATGGACACTTGGACTGCCTGCTATCTTGGTGATTGTAAATAATGCTGCAATGAACACGGGTGCTTATGTTCTTTCAAATGTGTTTTTGGGTTCCTTTGGTTATATTTCCAGAAGTAGAATTGCTGGGTCAAAAGGCAGATGTATTTTTCATTTTTGAGATATCTCCATACTACCTTCCACAGTGGCTGTACCACTCTGCATTCCCACCAACAGTGCATAAGGGTTCTGCTTTCTCCTCATCCTCATTGGGACTTGTTGTTTATTGATCTATTGATGGTTGCCATTTGACAGCTGTGAGGTGGTATCACATTGTGGTTTTAATTTGCATTTATCTGGTGATTAGTGACATTGATCATCTTTTCATATGTCTATTGGTCATCTGTATGTCCTCTTTGGTGAGTGTCTATTCAGATCATTTATCCATTTAACATTATATAGTGTCCTTCTTTGTCTCTTACTATGGCCTTATTTTTAAAGTCTATTTTTTCAAGTGTTAAGTACAGATATCCAGCATTTTCTTCTTTTCTGTTTTCAAGAAATATCTTCTTTCCATCCCATTACTTTGAGTCTGTGTGTATCTTTCAATCTGAGATGGGTCCCTTGGAAACACCATATATATAGGTCTTTTTTTTTCTCATCTATTCAGCTACTGTATGTATTTTGGTTGGAGATTTTAAGTCATCTGCATTTAAGGTAATTATTGATAGTTCTGTGTTTAGTGCCATTTATTTTTAGACTGTTTTCCTTTTCTGTTTTTTTTTCTTTCATTTTTTCTCCTTCTTCTCTTACAGCAAACCCTTTAACATTTGTTGCAGTACTGATTTGGTGTTATCAAAATCCTTTAGCTTTTTTTGTGTCTGGGAAGCTCCTTATTTCTCCTTCAATTTTAAATGACAGCCTTTCTGGGTAAAGTAGCCTTGGTTGTAGGTCTTTACTTTCCATCACCTTGAATATTTCATGCCACTCCCTTCTGGGTTGAAATGTTTCTGTTGTGTAATCAGATTACAGCATAATTGGTGCTCCTTTGTAGGTAACTTGTAAATGTGCCCTGTGATATTTGAATATTTGATGAATGGTCTTAGACTCAGTACTAGAACCAAGTTTGAACTGTATCACTCTGGTAAAAACCACTTGTTACCTGGTGACTCACTGTGAACCTACCTAGTGCAACTCCAATACTACAAGAGGCTCTTTCAGTAACTGAGCCTCACAGGCAACCAGAAGTTGGAGGCAGGTGAAGACAAATTTCAGAGTACTTTAATACTTTTGTTGAACTGCTCCTGGCCTTGTGCTGGTAAAAGTCAACCTTGGTATGTATCATGGTCTTTCCCACACACTCCTTGGATAGCAGTGGAAGCCACAAACTGGATCCCTTGTATCTTTAAATAGATTGCCCGGGGACAGTCACAGGCAGCATCTAACTTTGGCCTGTACAAGAGTCCCTACCTAAAGGTCCAGAAAAAACACACTATGGTGGCCAGCTACAGACCACATCAGAGCAGAATTCAGTAAGCTCCACAAAAGCACATACAAAGGAAGATCTTGGCAGATACCAGACTAAGGCAAATTTTTCTTTATGTGGTGAACATCTGCACCACAGTTCTCATGCCATGGTCTGGTTTGAACTAGCCTTGGAGTTGATCACATACACAAAAGAAACAATAGCTATCAAAATTCAATTACAACAGGAAGGCTGCATAACCCACATCAGGGATATTCCTAGAGCATCCAGCTCAGTTGATTAAGGAGAATGTGCCACTTTATTTCATCATCTATTTTGAATGAGAGTCTTGTTGGATAAAGTAGCCTTGGTTGAAGGTCCTAGTTTTTCATTATCTGTAAAATTAATGCCAATCCCTCCTGGCTTGTAGTGTTTCTGTTGATAAATCTGCTTATAGCCATATTGGACCTCCCTTGTATGTTACTTGCTGTTTATTTCTTGCTGCCTTTAAAATTCTCTCTTTAACATTTGGCATTTTAATTATGATGTGTCTTGGAATAGGCCCCTTTTAGTTCACCTTGATTGGGACCCTCCGTGATTGTTGAACTTGTGTGACTTTTCCCCTCACCAAATTAGGGAATTTTCTGTCATTATTTTTTCAAGTAGGTTTTTTTTTCTTTTTTTTTTTTAATTGAAGATGAGGTCTTTTTTTAAATTAAATTTGGCATTTCTTTTTTTTTCTTTTTTTTAGATTTTATTTGTTTATTTTTAGAGAGGGAAGGGAGGGAGAAAGAGAGAGAGAGAGAAAGATCAATGTGCGGTTGCTGGGGGCAGTGGCCTGCAACCCAGGCATGTGCCCTGACTGGGAACCGAACCTGCGATGCTTTGGTTCGCAGCTCGCGCTCAATCCACTGAGCTACACCAGCAAGGACCTCAA